AAGTGTGTATACATTAATAATGTGCGTTCACTGCGTTGAATGTTCCACGTGGTAAGCGCTTTTTTGTTAATCGAATAATACAAGCATTTATAGTATTCAGAATCTCTTCTTTCATTAACCTCATTTTTAGTTTTACAAAATATCCAGCCGTTATTTGTTTTAAAGAGACGGACTAAGTCCTTGGTGTTGTTGGTTGACCGTTTCCTCTCTGATCAGTTTGTTTGCTGACTAGCTGTCTTCCCTCTAGTCTGTCACTTCAAAATTAGGACAACTTGTCAAGTATCCTTTATGAAAGTTTGTGCAAATATCCTAAACAATCAAACAAACAAACCATTAGTACTTAAACCAACCAAACAAATCATTAGTACTTAAACCAACCAAACAAATCATTAGTACTTAAATAAACCAAACAAATCATTAGTACTTAAATCAACCAAACAAATCATTAGTACTTAATCAACCAAACAAATCATCAGACAAATATTGGCAACATCAGTGACTGACATAAATATTTTGAATTTTTTGGGATTTAAGTTTTCAGGCAAAATGCATATAAGTTTTAGTAATATCAAATAACAAACATCTCATATTAGTGATATTTAGAAAGCATATATTAAGTCACATGTCAGTCAATTAAAAATATGTATAATTTGAGTCCAAGTAGTGCAATTAAAATTTAAAAAAGCGTTATCTTAACATTTCTTAAAGTTATTTTACCACCATGCTTGAATATTTTTGAACTATATACAACATGAAGAGTAAAAAAAAAACATAACAGTTGCGTTTATAGTATTAACCATGAGATAGTAATTAATACTTTTGATTAAAGGCATAATAGTACAAGAAAGTAATTTTTCTTATACTTTTCTAGTCTATTTGATTGTTTGCTGATTATTCCTATAAAAATGTAATATACAGTTTATTCAGGTTTTATGTAATCATTATGCATTCCTATATTTTCATTACAGATAAGCTAGTATAGAAAATACGGGGTTATCCCAATTAAGATATCCAATGCCCTATTCAACTGATACGCTAATATGGTAAACGTAACTTTTATTATTAACACCCAAGCCATGAGTGAATGAAACCAAACTTGAGAGATTGGGCGGGCTACAGAGAGATGTCATGGTTTCCAGCATTTAGTTTAGAACCCAATAAAATGTACTCTGATAAAAGAAAGGACTTGACCTGTTAATCTGAACAAAAACAACACTTTGCTACCAGAAGAACTCTCCTCTCAACAGGACGTAAAGATGCATAGCTTAGGAGGTCGGACAGGCTGTGTTCCTCCTGCACAAAATAGTAGAAGTGTTCATGTTGGTATACCATGATTTGTAAAATAAAAAAGTGCATAAGAATATTAAATTCTAATTGATCTAAAACAGAGATAAAACCAATGATTGGTCTGTATTCCTTCAAGTGCCATGCCAGTGATGTTGCTCCTGCTACTACTCATGCTAATTTGCTGCAATTACTGTTACTATTATTACAGCCATCTCCTCCTTCACACAGCAGACTAGCTCCTGAAACTGACTTGGTGAGTATTCATCTGCAGTTACAATCAGAAATCATCACAACAAAGAAAATGATGACTGAAAACAACACAGGTCTTTTTTTTTTTGCAAACATTGTTGGTTTATGCCTTCCTTGGCCATCTCTATCAACAGAACTCATGAAAACTGCAGAAAAAATGGCTTTGTAGAGCTGAGGAACCAGGACTTGTATGCACAACGTGTGTTGGAATTTGAACGGGGATATAGTTATTACTTCCCTCATAGTCTGTAAACAAGGCCAAATTTTGCCATGCTGCTGGACATTTGAAATTCGAGATATCACAAAGATTTCAAATCTCTATTCGGGATTTTTAAAAAAAAAGAATACTGGAAAGCATTATTTAAGAATCAACCCATCAAAAAATATCTCCTGACTCATAGACTGGGTGTTTAACATCTGTGATGAATTTTTATAATACCTATTTAAAAAAAAATTTAAAAAACTATCATGCCGTATCAGATGTTGTGTTAAGTAATGTGAACAGAGGGGTTTTTCTTTTTTATTGTAATAATTACACATATGTCAAAACATACACACTTGAAAAAAAGAAAAATGGCAAAAGAGCAGATGGCAGTACTTGTTGTACAATGTTTTCAGCAGATGGCAGTACTTGTAGTACAATGTTTCCAGCAGCAGATGGCAGTACTTGTTGTACAATGTTTTCAGCAGATGGCAGTACTTATAGTACAATGTTTTCAGCAGATGGCAGTACTTATAGTACAATGTTTTCAGCAGATGGCAGTACTTGTAGTACAATGTTTTCATCAGATGGCAGTACTTGTAGTACAATGTTTTCATCAGATGGCAG